TAAATAATTGTAGAGTGACTATTATTGACACCATTCTAACTTCTTGAAAGCTTTGGGAGTGAGTATTAAAGGGGTGAAACCTTTAATCTCTTAAAGGTTTGAGGCAGCAAGGGGAATCTTAACTTAAACTTTTGTGTGTTTATTAGTTATTAATTGATAAACGATGATTAAACTATGTGGAATTGATTGAAATGCAAATATGGCTTGCTTTGCTTAAAAAGCCTACTAGGAGGTGGTGATTTAATAAAATTCAATGATTTTAAAATATGTGAAGTTCAATGATTTTCAAAGTATGTGGTACCACAATTATGAAAATAGGAGTTCAATGATTTGCATTGATAGAAATTCAATAATCTTGAGATGTATGTAGTTAAATGATTATGAATGTGTAAGGTACGATGATTTTCAAATTTAAAGTTTAATAATTTGTCTGAATTGGAGTTCGATAACTTGTATAATTTATAGTTCAATGAAAATGTGTTTGAGAAGTTCAACGATTTGTTAAAATGGTGGAGTTCAATGAAATTGTATATGTGAAGTGCTACGAATTAAATTAAATATGAATTTTGCATGAATATGCATTACATGATCTTGAGAAGCAAGAGTTTGGCTAGGAAGAAGAGTAAAGAATTAAATCCACGTGGTAGGGCTTTCATCTGAGTGATGGTTTGCTCGAATTGATTGTATCCATATTATCCTACTTGTTCAACAAAGGCATGTCCCACCAGTTCAACGAGAAACTCAGACCTAATTATCTATCCACTGGTTCAACAAGAAAGCTAGTTAGGGTATATGACACCTCATGGTATGAGAAATGGGAAAAACTGTATTCCATAAGTAAGTTGGGTGTGCCTTGATTGAGTAATCCCCTCACAAGTGTTTAGGCTGAGGAAATTATGGATTATAGACTATCCTATTGTGTTATAACCCCATAATATCGTGTTAAAGGAATAAGGAGGATATAAGATAGGTGTGATCATGTATATAGTAAGTAAGGACACATGGTTGTCTGTATTGTGACCTTAATAAAGATATTCATAAATTGAGTTTTAATTACTCCCGAGTATTTGTGGTTATATAGTGTGATAACCTTAATAGGATATGAAAATTATTGAAAAGCTTTATTTCCCAAGTTGTGTTATTATACTTGGAAGTGTGAATATATATATATATATTCTTAATGTTTTACATGGTTTGAAGAATTGACTTTTATTGCCACTTGCATTTGAACTAATCAACATGCATTAGTATGAGTTAATTAAACTTTATTTACTGAGTGATTATATTCACTCCATTATCTTCAATATTATAAGGAATAGCTAAGAGGATTAGAAAGAGGAAAACTCCCAGAGGCATAGGATAGCGATCTTACTTTAGCATGCCTCTTTATTCTCGAGTCACTATGCGTACTTGACAATTTAAATTGCCAACTATGTTTTATCTATTTTTAGTTCTTACTTGCATTACTTGTTTTGTGAGATGTAGGTGTATTTTGAACCTTAAGGAGTGAGTTGGTGTTATGAAATATATGTGATAGGTCAAAATACTAATGTAAGTAAGAGTTGAGCATATTATATATAGATCATGAATCATTTTAGGGAAATAAGCTTAAATTCTCCCTTGTATGTTTTATGAGTATTTAACTTAATGTGATATGATGCATTGCATGAGTTAATTTTGACGTTTTGCATATAGTCAAATGAGTGTTACTGGCCAATGGCTTTTAGTAAATAAATTGGATACTTGATTTTGTGAAAATTGTTGAAAAAGTATAAATTTTAAAAAGAGTGTCTAAATTTTGATTGACGAATAATTTTCTTTTAAAACCAACGCCATTAGTTTAAGCTTGGAAAGAGCTTTCTATAAACAACTAGTTCGCGTCAATCGAACATCGGACGGAGAATTAGAGTGTTTTGAAAGTTGCCCTGAAAGCTGTCACATTGACAGCATAATTCACTGTCAAAATTTATGCAATTACACTCAACATATAGTGCCATGAGCTACAATGCATGTCATAGAGGCGAACATGCCGTGGCGCATATTCGACAAGTAGCAGCGCATGCCCTAAAATTTTATAAAATTTTATCATTTTCAAATTCTTTAATAAATGCACTCATTTGTGAATGATCCCAAACTTTTGCATAATTGTGAACTCTAATTTGTCTATTTGGAGAATTTTGAAAATGGTTTGGGTTTTGTAAACTTCGGATCCCAACTTTTCTAACTATTTCAAACTTGGTTTATATATTAACTACCTAAATCGAATCTCATTAGTACTTAGGAATTGGAGTTAATTATGTCTTGGATGGAAGAGGATCTTACAACTCTACCATATTTCCTTCCTTTTTATATTATTTTGTTTTTCATATTTTGTTTCCTTCCTTCATATATTTAATTACCATTCCATTTTTCCTTTCTTTCATTAACTAATTTGATTTTTCCTTTGATTTAGCCCTAAAAAAAATCACCTTATAAATAATTTGGCCTTACACCTAGGTCAAAATCTACTCTAGACTAGTTGAAGTTTCCATTGATTTTCTTAAGGAGTTTTCAAGCCCCTGGAGGTCACTGTAAAAACTTTACCCAGGTTGTTACTTGTTTAGCATGTTTGATCCTTAAAGAACTTTTAAATTTTTAGAGGGTTAGACTTGTTGAATAAGATATTGACTTTTTAGTGATGGTGACTTAAAAGCATTTTTTCAAATAGGATATTAGAGCCTTTTAGTAAAAAAAAAAAAAGAAAAGATCTCATCTTCTATTGCCTGCAATCACCTAAAAAAAACCACATTCAATCGTGATGTTATGACCTCATTTAATTCCCAATATGATTACATCGACCATCATCAATATGATTATATTGATTGTCATCAATATAATTACCATTGTCAATATGATTATACTAATCATCACTACTATGATTATGTTAATTATTATCAATGTCCCTGTCAGTATGATTTAGTTGATCAATCAAACTTGAATTTGATATATTCACGCCTTAAATTTGCGAGAGATAAAATTGATGAACTTTAAAGCTCCCTTTGATCAACATTAACAAGAAGAGCATTGCTCTCAAGTTGAGAAAGAGAATTCATATCACAAGGAAGAACTTATAATCCTATCGATAGCATCTTAAAACCACATAAAAACCTTGATATCTTTGACTTTTGAAGGTGATACACCTAACAAAGACCTTTTTTGCCTGTATCGATGGTACTAGAAAGTAATAACACTGATAATTTTGAGATCAAGGTATGTGATGATATAGACATGAGGGAGGTTTTAAACCATGCTGAAGATTATATACCCATTCTAAAGATAGGTGATGCTGAAAAACAAGTAGAAGTCAATAATATGATAGAACAATTGCATATACAAATTATACCCATGATGGTTTTTTCTTTTAAAACTATTGATGATGGTATGCAATTTGATCCTGATCTTATTTTACCTTATTGGTCTATTACACCACACAGTATTAAGGTTATTACAGCTCTGAAAGAACAAATTGTTCTTGAACCATATAGTCCCCTCCAATATTATCTCATTCATTGGAAAGAATTTTCAGACTCGTACTCTATGATTTTACATGTTTAAATTATTTGCTATTCATTTGATGCCATTTATTAATATCCAATTTGCTAAAAGGGTTTCCCAAATATAGCAATGACTTGGAATCTCTCAATACTGTTATACTTTTAGAGCATATCCACAATTTTACTCATCGGAAGAGAGTTCTTTAAGTAGGGGAGAAATAATGAGAAGAAAAAAAAAGAATTAATTAAAAATATTGAAGACTTTATAAGATTGGAAGATCAAAAATATTTTATTAAGATATTTTGTTAATTAAAAAAATTTTGTTTTAATTGTCGTAATATTTAAATTATTATTATCTTTTCATTTAATTTTAAGATTTTAAAATTTCTCAAATTTAATTTTAGGGTTAAGGTTGAGCCTTATAAATAGCATCTAAGCTCATTTGTTTTGTAAACGCACATTCAATTGAATAAGAATTATTATTGTCTTGCATCTCCTTTGAGTTTTCTCTTCTATCTATTATCTCTATTGATCCCTTTATCTCTTTTTTATATTCTCTTCCCCCTTCTCTTTTCCCCGCATCAATCGCGCTTTCTCGATCCACTTCTAGCAACCACATGTTGATTTCCAGTGACCACACGTTGACTATCCATGATCTCTAGCAATTTCATGATCTCTCCTGCATTCTATTAATCTTCTTCACATTTCTTCCTCTCATTCAATACATTTGGCTGAATCTCAGTGGCAGATTTCATCTTCCTTTTCATCCCTTTCAAGAACCTTGATCTCAAGGGGTAGTAACCGAAAGAAAAACAACAAGGATTTGTTGGAGATGTTTGTGATGGCTTAAAGATTAGGTGGTGATCGGTTGATCTTAAGGGTTTGCCGATAATTTTTTTTTTGGTAATGGATATATTGGCAACATCTCACAACGACAGCCGCAATAGTTTTGAATTTGGATTGGGGCTAAGGTTCTATTAATGTAGTTTTTTTGAAGTATATCTTGGTTGTTTGAATCAAGATTATATCAAAATTTCATAGACAAACCAAAGATGTTTTAAATCTCATAACCATGCCAATTTTCACTTCTAGATCTACTTTCATATTCATTTTCATTTATATCATAACAAACAGGACATTAGACTTTTCTGCAATTACGTTTCTAAATTCTTCAAATGATCCTCTTGATATTTCTCCCTTTTTGTGATCTGTGACAGCAATTTACTATCACAGCCATGAAGAAACCACCCATATCATCTCGTTTATATATTCGATTAAACCGAACGCCCGCTTTTCCCAGCGTTGCCAAATGTTCTTGAACCTTATCGGGTGTACACTTCGAAATTTGGGGACAGAACAAGATGCATAAATAATAAACAAACCAAATTCCCTCACTGGGCCACGTTTAACCTATCCCATTATTAATATTAATATTAATAATTAATAATAATAAAAGGTTGAAATGGGATTTCCAGTGACCGCCTCATAAATTCCCCTTTTTAGCGGAGCTACTGCGATATCTTCTTCTACTCTTTTTCCCCCTACCTCTGTTCTGACCCATGCCTCATCTCTCTCACTTTTCTCTGTTCCCCCCACCTCCATCTCTAATCAAGCAGCCAAGTGAGCAACTCAATACACTGATATTATCTCTCAACCCATCCTTCAATTTTCCATTATCTTATCAATTTTGAAATGTTCTTTCTACTCATTCTGACGGAGATTTCATTGTTCTGCTTCGTCACTGCTCGCAGATTGATATATAATCTGATTCAGATTTTCCGGAGCAGGAGAGGTTGCTTATCGATAATCATCATCAACGAACAAGTATTCCAAGTGTTTGACTCTCGCCATAATGGTATTTCTTATCTTGTCGTGTTCGACTTGACCCCCCACCCTCTCTGCATCATCAGATGTCTCTGATTCATTTTCTTGCTCAAAATGATTATCTTATTCGGTTCCGATCCAGGTGAGCCCAATAGGTAACTTCGACAAGGGTGACATGGGCCCTCCATGGTTGAAACCAATGCTTAAAGCAGACTACTTCGTTACCTGCTCAATCCATGGCGATTCGAATAAGAGCGAGTGCAACATGTTCTGTTTGGATTGTATGGGAAACGCCCTCTGTTCTTACTGCTTGATTCATCACAGAGATCACCGTATCGTGCAGGTTGGGCCGAGACCTAGCTCAGGCCATTATTAGTATCTTTTGTAATCATAAGGGTTTGAACCTGGACGGACCTTTAAGCCTGCGTTTTTGTTTCCGAGTTTTTTTGAGTCGCAGAAATTTATTTAATGATTGTTCAATTAACCGACCTATGCGTGTAGATAAGACGGTCCTCGTACCATAACGTGGTCAGAGTGAACGAGATTCAGAAGTACATCGACATTTCCTGCGTCCAAACCTACATTATCAACAGTGCCAAGATCGTTTTTCTCAATGAGAGGCCACAGCCACGACCAGGAAAGGGGGTCACCAACACTTGCGAGATTTGTGGCAGAAGCCTCCTCGATTCTTTCAGATTTTGTTCATTGGGTTGTAAGGTGATTCTTCTTTGATATCACTTGTTTCTCTGCTTGCTTTAATCAGATAGATGATACGTGTGTGTTTATGGATATGTCAGCTCGGAGCAATGAAGCAGGGTCGCTCAGAACTCACATTTGCGCTAAGGGACAGGAACAACAAGGACATACTGGAGTCGGATGAATCGTCAACTCCTAGGAAGATTCGAAGGACTCATGTTTTCAACCGCCTGATCATGGATGATCCGATCATTTTTTACAACCATGGGAAGGAGAGGTGCTCAGCTTCTGAAGAAGACGACGGCAACGGTAGCATCTCTCCGGCCACCCCTCCGATTTACAACCACCGTAATGCCAGGAGAAGAAAAGGCATACCCCACAGGGCCCCATTTTAAATAAACCAAACAGAAATCAGATGATGATGATGAAGATGAGGAGTGTGGATAGGTATAAAGTTCTTTCATATACTGTTAGATAGGTTAGTGCCCTGAAGAATCATCAATAATCAATAATCAGTGTTATCTTATGGAAATAGGAATGGGATAATACAAATTCAGGGAAAATAGAGTATAGCAGTGTCCCTATATATATGCTAGAAAATGGGTGTGTTAATCAGGTCATTGTACAGAGGATGGTATACCTAGTTCTCAGGATGAGCGAGATATGGGAAGTAGCGCTTCTGTTGTAAAATTGCATGTAGGTTTTAATAAGAATGTATTGCTTGTCCCACTTAAAGACGTTCGTAACTGAAGTGTTTTTTTTATCTGAGAAAAAATGGGTTAGTGTGCTTTTTTTTTTTTTTTGTTGGGGGGGGGGGGTGGGGAGCCTGTGGCCTGTGGTGCATCTAGTTTCTAGTCTACCGCCTCCTTTTTTGAACGACGTGCGTGGAGCATCGCTATAACGAGAATCTTTCCGTTCCACGAAAAGGGATCGGATTCACTTTTACATGTTTGTTTAGAACGTTTAGATTCTGAGCAGTGTTTCCCTGATTAATATATCAGATATCCCGAGCATAATTCTGCAGAGAAAAAGAAAACAAGAAATAAAATATCAGAATCTTCACCGAAAAATTCTTCTGCGTGATAAAATTAAAAGAATGTAACCCAACTTTCTGTACCCCTAAATCATTTCCACTAACCTAAAAAAAAAAGAACAAAAATGTTTAAAAATTTAAAGATATTCTTATATAATAAATTTAAAAAGTGATATCATATTTCTTTTGAAAGGTAATTTTAAAAATATTATTTAAAAAGTTATACTGTAGCTTATAAATAGGATTAAATAAATTTTTTAAAATGTGTTTTATAAATGAAATTAGGGGGAGTATTGATTATTTACACTAATTGAATCAAATAAAATATTTAATTTATTTTTTAAAAATTGTTGTGTATGAATTGAGATACTGAAAATTAGATAAGTTGATTCAAGGAATAATGGTCAAGATATTTCTTCAATAATTTAGGATCCTATTGATTAAGTTGACTTGATTTTTAATATTATTTTATAAGATAGATTTAGATAAAGTTATACATACAAATAAAATTCATTAAATATATAAATTTTTAAATTTTTTTCATTTAATGTATTTTTAACATGAACAATGAAGAGGGAAAGGTAATATTAAAATTATTTTATTAAATTATTTTATTTTTTGAGATATAATCCTTTTTTAGATTATCCCATAATTTAAAATGGAAACAATACTATGAAATGGAAAATGAAAAAAAAATAAATAAATCAAAGGCATGTTTTGGAAGGGGGAGGAAAATAAATGGATGATGGAGAGAAGAGAAGAATGGCGGGGTTGTGGTGGGATGGAACGGTGAAGGTCCAGAAAGGTCAGAGACAGATAAGAGCACGCGTCAACGCCATGGAGGGGGTAGACGACAAACAAGAGGTCGTTGTCGTAATAATCGCTTTCATCTTTTTGTGTTTTTGAAAAAGGTTCTTATTTGCTTGCAAACATTTAATATTTATATTTAAATTAAATAAACAAGTGGATTATGATCAACGAGAGCCGTAAAGAATCTGAAACTTGCTGTGTGTGACTCCACTCTCTGTCTATTCTATCGGCTCTATCTGTGCTCCACTTTTGCAACCCCACTAGCCATATCCTACCTAAGAGGGGTTTTCCTTTTTTCCGCCAATTAAAAAAAATCTGATCAACTTAAATTTCACGAGCTCATCAATATTGAGATTAAAAATAGCACATAAAAATACTAATGGATTATCCATTGACAGTATTTTCATAGTATTGAGAAGATCTGAATTTATATATTTATAAAATATGGGTCTATTTTTATTATCTGAATCACTGTTTCGTTGGCAAGAGATTTTATGTGCGTGCATGCATGATTTGATCATTGTCCACCATCACATGGTGTTTATTCTCATACAACAAGTGATATCCCTTCTCCCATTCGTCTTTTCATATCTTCTTCGCCTTCCTTCGTATCATATATAGAGTATCTTTTTTTCATTTAATCCTCCTCTTAACAGTTTTTGCATGTGTGTATAATTAAGTTCTCTGTAATTATGTTGATTGATTTATGATTACGTGTATGTCACGTGTGCCTGCGCCATGAGAAAGTAAAAGCACTGCCATGAAGCTCGTGGGTGGTGTAAAACCTAAGTTGAAACATTACTAAATTCTTTGAGTTTGAGACGTGCAATTTTCTCCGAAATTTATAGTTTTTTAAAAATAAAATATTTTATATTTTTAAAAAATAATAAAATAAAAATAAAAAATTTTATACATGAACCTTAATTTTAAAGAATTTAAATCTTGCATCATATAATCTCGGATGCCATATTATTTGTATTTTAATATTAATTATGAAAATAATCCAAATATGAAAAGGAAAAAGAGAAAATCCTTAATATTTTAATAAAAAAGATATGGGTTGAAGAATTGTTGGAAGAGAGAGAGAGAGAGAAACCATTGAGAAAATATTATAAAATATTCTTTTTTATTCTTACATGTAAATTATCTTCCATAAAAGTTGATGGGGTAAGAGAGTAAAATATTTTTAAATTATAAGTTAACGAGTGTCTAAGATTTTAAATTTATTTTTATATGATATTCTTGTTGAAATATTTATTTAATTATGAATTAACATTAATTAATAAGCCCAAATAAATTGGTATGATTTTGTGTGGACCGTAATAGGAGGACCACACAAGTGAGCCCAATGGGCAGAGGCCCAACCCACAACCCAATAGTCGTCAGTTGTTCCTTGTCTTTTAACTGACTAAGTCAGAGATAATAAGATATATAATTATTTATTATTTAATAAGACGATTACTGATCTGATCTATATAAGATGATTAGTCGATAACTGCAAATACACGACTCATTATTCTACTTCCATTATCTCTAAACTCTCTGAAGGCTCTGGGAACTCATGGGTTGGGTACCTGCCTACACTCGAGATAATCGAGATTTCTCAAGTACTCATGAATTCTTCAAGTACGCATATATTACTTTATTTATTTATATAAATTGAGATATTCAAATTCAACAATTCTCTTTTAACTTTTAAAATTAATGCTATCTAGCTGTTATGGTTAATAAAAATTAATTTTGACTTTTAGTTAATCAAACAATGACATAAAAGGACTTCAAAAATTATAAAAAATAATCATTTCTTTGTTCCTTTTTGGTCATTGTTTGATCAATTAAAAGTTAAAGTTAATTTTTGTTAACAGTGAGTGTTAAATTACATTATTTTTAAAGTTGAAAGAGAATATTGTATAAAAATGAGTTTATAATGTTAAGGAAGGAAAGCATATCTAATTGTCTATATATTTTTATAGTTTGCTGAATTTGAATTAAGTCCATGCATTTTATTTTATTTTAATCGAGCTCTTAAAGTTTGACCAATTAAATTTTGTAATCCTTAAAAATTAAAATCCTTATATTTTTCCTTTAAAAAAATTAAGAACTTTTACAATGTTATTAAATTTAAAATTAATTACATAATTTTTATAAAAAAATTTATATAATTAGGTTATTTTCTAAATATTTTTAATACATGTAGAATTTTTATAAAATTATGATAAAAATATAAACAGTGGATTAAATCAATTTTTTCCAATTTTAGCTAAAAACATTAAATTAAATTTTTTACAAATTTCTAGAGTATTTTAATTTTGTAAAATTTAATAATTCATTATTTATTTTACCCTTCAGTGGGTCAACATGTATAATAGATAAAATTATAAAGATTTGATTAAAATAAAATAAATTATAGAGATCTAATTTAAAATTAAATGAAATTGTAAGGACCTACAAATATATTTTCCCTTTTAAGTATTTTGAATATATAGTTTAGTTATCAATTTTTTTATCCAAAATTGATTACCCTTTTATAAGTTATTCTGTATAAAAATAAGAACCATTAATTACCTTATTCAAAATGCAACATTTCACAATTTTTTTGCGCATGCTAAAACGCTGCGTATGCAATAATCTGCATTTATAAAGATAAAACATTTAATTAGGGTAAAAAAAATTACCTTTCAAACCGCATGAGTGAGTTATCTGCCTCATTTCAATGAATTAATTAAAAACAACTTCCGTGTGTGTGGGGAGAACAGGATGAGGTATAATACTCCCCCAAGTTTTAAAAGTAAAATGGCAATATTATTTGTCTCATTAATTTCACGGTTTTCCTCGTTCTTTTTTGCTATCACAGGTAATACCTTTATTTTTTTTTAAAAAAAAGAGTATTTTAGAGAAAGTGATACCTCCTTTTTCGGAACTTTTATAAATATAATTCACATCATAAAATTAAATTAAACAAATAATTTAATATTTATTATATTTTATATTATGATTAATTTATTATATTTATTAGTAATATGTTATTATATATTAATAATAAACTCTTTATAAATTTTTAAATTTTTAATAATACATTATTTACATATTAATAATAAATTTTTTATATATTAATGTAAACTTATTATATTCTCAAATTTTTAAAATTTGAGTTGCATTTTTTGGGCACGGATTTTTTTTAACCAGTGAGCTAATTTACCCTATTTTTTTATGAAAAATGATAAATTAATAAACAAGTAATTAATTTGACCAGTTTACTTAATTCCAATAAATTAATCAACTAAACCTTATATCGAGGATAAACTGGCTATTAATTGTTTAATAAAAACCAGACACACGTGGCACAATTCTTATTCGCCTACCCTATCTAGAAAGAGGAGGCTAATGACACCCTGACGACGGGCGGTTGAGAAGGTTATTATTCCAACTTCCAAAGTTGTGTGCAGGACACGTGCTCCCTTCGTTGTCCGCCCAGACGTTAGTTGATGTACGAGAATCAGCATCCTCCGGGACGCGTCACACTATACTCCAGAGCTTCCTTCTTCATGATCGAGTAAAAGGAATATTTTTTTATTACAATTTATGCTAATTTTTTAATTCGATCTAATGCAATTTATATGTCAAGGGCTTTCTTTTTATGTGGTGGTATCCAAATTAAATCATGTGGCTGCGGAGATGTGACGAAGCTAATCCTAATCCTGAGCACAATATTGTATTACGTGGCTGGGACCCTTTAATATACCAATCACCCGGACCAATGTCTAGTGCGTTATGGATTTATCAGGTGCTTGGTGCAAGTAATTTACTCCATATAACCTCGCATGTCTTTTTTTTTTTTTTTTAATAGAACGGAAGAACTTTCATTCAAAGTGCAAGCTTAACTTACAGAATGAGAACAAGTATTAAAACTACGCCTTTCATCACAAGGTTACTTCGGTTCAATTGTCAAATATGATTGTATTGAAATGTTAAATGTGAGTTGCCTTAGTTGGGTGTGATGAAAAATCTCATGCCAAATAAAATTAGACTAAAGAAGATGCGCAAGTGTGAAGGATTATAAATTTAATGTCTTGAGATATTTTAAATTTAAGATGCAGTGTTATAATCATTTATAAGTGTCCTCGTCTTAGAATTGTTGAGCCATCCAATTATATTCTCTCTTATTTTAAGATATATGCTCGCGGGTTCCAACAAACTGGAGATAAACAATCATTCTTAATCTAACCCTGCTAATCTACGTGCCAAAAATGAACAATGGATATTTCTAAACACAAGATGAGTTGAAAGCTTCTGAATAAAACTCATGACATCCATTAAAACAAACGAATAGATACAAAGAACATAAAGAAACAAAAAAAAAAAAAAAAACTACTCTCTTTCATCATCATCCACACCTATGATGGAAAGTGGATGATGAATAAAAAGACAAAATCAAATTTCCATAATGTGAGCATGCCTAACCAGAGAATTAACCTGTTTGTCCAAGTTGCGAGGCGCATGATTGAAAACTTGATTTCATTGTATGTTATTCCGAAACATGACCAGTAACTAGAGTTATCAATAAGAATTGGTTAGATGTTTAAGAACTCAAACTTATAAGCCCGTGCATTTTAAATTGACTATATTTTTTAAGCTTGACCTGGCTCAGCGATGAAACTAGAAGCCTGTGTAATTTTTTATAAAAAAAATTTAAATTTATAATTATGCTAATACACAATTTAACAAAACGCATCATTTTAACTTAAACATTAAAAAAAATCAAATAATTTTAACCACACTATTACTCCTCAGTTCATCTGTTAAAAAATGTAAAATATTTTTAATTGAATCCTACTTCTTAATAAAATAGTTACTTATTATCAAATTAATATACACTATCTTTATATATTTATTCCTATTTAATAAGATATTATACTCTAAAATAAATATAAATAATTTTTTATTATGGACTTTTTTAAAAAAATATAATAATTATAAATTAAAATATTAAAAATATTTTATATTTTTAAATTGAGAGTTGCAATATCAACCGTCTATAGTTTTCAACAAGTTCAATTTCACATGAAGAAAAACCAAAAAAAAAAAAAAATACCGGCTTACACAGTTACACAGTCCAAATTAACCCACTTTTGATAGGTTTATTAAGGATCGGTAGATTGGGCCAAAAACTTTCTCACACAAATTTTTTTCATTTGGCAAGTCCTTTTGTCTTTAAATACATATTCCCTTCATTACAAAAAAAAAAAATTAAAGAGTTATTCATTAAAAAAATATAAAGTATTTTTATTATTTCAAGATACACTTTTTTGAAAACTTTCATAATAAATAAATAAATTATTTAATATTTATTTTTACATGATACGTGTTACTAAATAAGTGTAGATATAGAATAATTATGTTAATTGTAAGACAATTAATTAATTTATTGAGATTCAGTTAAATTTTTTTACATTTTACATTTTTAAAACAGTAAAGTAAAATGTAAACTAGTAATATTGATCGTTCTACCAGTAACACACTTCTCAGTTTTAAAAGTTTTAGAGAAGGTCGAAACCCCACTTCCTTTCCCGAAACATCTGTTTGCTGCATGAATAACCATACCTATGAAATTTTTGAAGTCAGATTGGGTCGATCTGTTTCCACTTAACAACCATATGAATATACGCAATCATTGATTTTAAATCACTTCTTAGTGCGTGTTACTTTTGCATCGAACCTGGATTGCCTTCGGTTAGAAATCTTCATCTATTAGGTTCAATGCAATTTTTCACAAGATACTCCAGGCATGTGACACTTCAAAAATCAGATATAGCACACATCTCATACAATGTCACACCAAATATTTATAAAGTGCTAAAAGTTTTTAGACCTGACCCTACCACACGTTAGTTCATTGAACTTTTATCCACAATAATGTTTAACGGTGCGTTTGGATAAGCGATAGAACTAATTTTTTACCTCAAAAATTGATTTTTTTAAGTTAATTTACCTAAGCAATTAAAAAAGGTCAAAAATTAATTATAAATAAGGCACATGTTTTTTCTTAGAATGTGTTTGGTTGGGGGGAGGGGAGCCTCCCCTCCAAAACCTTCCCCCCAAATTGGGGGGGAGCCCCCCTCCCCTCTCCCTCCCCTCCTCTCCCCCTATCTTTCTTTTTCTTTTCTTAAATCAAACAGACCTTTAAGCTCTTTTGATCAACTTTCTGTCAAGTTAATAAAAAATGTTGAGAAAAATTATAAAAAAAGGTCCAAAAAATTATAAAAAAGACACAACATTGAATAAAAATAAAAACAAACTTTGTTCTCTCAACTTTTTTTTTTAATAAAATTCAAATTTTGTATTTTTAAAAAATTGATATTTAGTATTTAAGAATTAAATTATATAATAATTTATATAAATAAAATTAATTCTGATTAAATTATTCAAATGTCTTTAATTTTGTTAAAATTAATTTTAAAAAAACAGTATCCAAACAAATTGTGTTATAATATAATCAATTATGATTAAAATCTACTACTAAATTAATTATTTTTATAATCTATTATATTTAACTAAAATTTAATGGGCACTGAGTCACAAATCCACTCTGATTGTTAATGAACTCTGGTACTTTTAGCAATTTAAGCTTTTTTTTTTTTTTTTGAGCAATAGAGTGATAGGAGTCAGTAGTAGTAAGTAATTGGTAAAAAGAATATACATTCCAACTTCTAAGATGGAGACTGTTCCAAGAGCGCGCATCCGAAGAGTTTGAGGGGGAAAAAAAGAGAATGTTATATATATATATATATATATATATATCGAAAGTGGCTTTGTAACTTTCCAGGTAAACTCATTTTCATGCTATTTTAGTGATTAACACTGATGTGAAATTTAACGTGCAAGGCACTTGCCATTTTCAACTGATATTCCTCTCTGTTCTGTTAATAAAAGACCATGCCTACTAATTTTTAACACAACACCCTTAACACAATCTGATAAAACCTTTGTAACTATTTTTAAAAAATGCCACTGTCTCTCTGTTTTCTTCTTCTTTTTTTTCCATTCTCCCTCTGTTTTCTTCTTCTTTTTTTTCCATTCTCCCTCCCTCCTCACAATGAACTATACTAAAGGGTTATTTTAGAAAATTGTAATTTTTTTTACATTTAACCCATTTTAACTAATTTTCTGAATCTTATAAAAATACTGTTAAATTCTACAAGAACAGAGATAGTACGTGTTTGGGGCTAAATCCAACTCATCCCAATCCTCCACAACTCTACTTGAACAATGCTGCAATAGCCAAACAGTGAATATCGTCGAAATTTTCTCCCATCTAACCTGGGGTTAATTTTCAATTCATCTATAATATTCAAGAATGTGTACTTAAACCGTTATCAATTACTCAAGTTCTGTGATTGCTCTAACACTATGGGGCTCAATAAACAATAATCTCATACATGGAGGTACTGAACATGCAAAATATTAGGACATACTATGTATATATTAGGATTTGAATTTAGTGCCTATTCTTAATATAAGCATTGAGTGTTGTCCCACACAAGTAATTGAAATTTAAAACAATGATTCAGAAAAACTCACTTATTCATTAATTTTTTATAAAATATGAATTTAAAATTATTGATATAAATTTTAACAATTTAAATGAAATAAGTACTCATTATTTATATTAAAAACACACATGAAATCCAAATTCATATACATCATGTGCTTATTCAATAACAGCAAATTGTCAGTAAAATCTTACCCAAACCTAGTGTGTTCCCTTAGACTTGGGTATTTTAAATCTTTTGCTATCAGCCTGGCAATTTGTTCCCGTGGTTGGCAAAAGAAATGGTTTTGGAAATTGTTTTTTTTTTTTTTTTTGTGGGGGGGGGGGGGGGGCGTGGGCGGAACGGAGGAAGGGAAGACAGGAGGTGGCTGAGAATCGTTTAGATGAATTAGAATTATTACTTGTCAGTGTCCTCTCTCTCCTCACGTGGAATGCATCACAGGACCCAAATCCCGCAGGTCTGAGGCTCGAATCGAATTTAGGACCATGCCGATGCAGGCCACCTCACTTTGTCTAGCAGCCAAGGTTCCGGTTTGCGTTAAGTCGCAGCACACAAATCCGACCAAGTTCAAAGATCTCAGCTCCATGGCCGAGGCTGCTGCTCCGAAGTGGGCTCAGAAGACCATCACTCTGACTCCCCACAATCGCGGCTGTCATCTCATCACTTCTAAGGCAAGCTGATCATTAACTTCATTAAATTCCCTTTCTGAAAACCCCTAATTATTGTCTTCTACTTTGTCCTTGCTCTTACATCCGGTGTTAATTAGCGTCATAGATATCTTTGTCTCTGGCCTTTTACTCGTTTAATAGATTTACTGAGAATCGCATCCTTATAGCAGTAAACCGGACCTTGCTTGATCAGATGGGAATATCACTAATACTGGACCTTTTTTTGTGACGGCAACTGGAACTCACTGATTAATGGTGTTTGCTACGTCTGAACGTTCTGTCAATTTTCTACTTGTCTGGACATTATGGGTTGATAACTGTCTTGTTAAAAGAGTTTACGGCAGCAATGATCTTTTATGTATTCATGTGTCGCTGTCAACGGGATTATTAACATGCTTTGTTGCATGAGCTTGTTGGACTTCTATGCTTTTACATTTTGACCTTACGCAGGACTGATCCTTCATTAAACAAATAATCATTGGTTAACTTTATCATGACAGATCTTAAAAGAAATTGAGAATGACTTGTCTGGATTCAAGTGTGGCCTTGCACATCTCTTCTGTGAGTTCATATACGATTTGTTTCTTTCCTTCATGCATGCTTTACAGGGGTTGCGCAGACTGACCTTTTAGCTTTAATGAGAAATGCAGTGCAACACACTAGTGCTTCTCTTACCATCAATGAAAATTATGACTCTGATGTTCGTGCTGATACAGAAAGGTTTCTCAATATTGTGGTTCCTGAGGTTGGTTTCTTTCCTGTTTTTATTGCAATATAGCAATAAGCAGTCTCTTGCAGTAAAAGAACTCAATATGTTTTCCCATATCTTTTGTAGGGACCATCTGCGCCTTGGAAGCATACGTTAGAGGGTTAGATCTAATTTTAATTTACCATCGCAGTTCAAAAGTTTCAAGCTGCTTTTATAGTGGATTTTAATTGGCATTCTACTGAAATAATGGTGAACTGAATTGACCCTGAAATTTTTGTGGCAATCTTATTTAACCCTGAAATTTTGCAGGCCCAGATGACATGCCGGCACATATCAAATCATCAATGTTTGGTTCCACACTCACGTGAGAAATACTCCTTGTTCAATTTGATCAAATATTCTGAAAAACTACCACTGTGATATGTATTACTGATATTTTGTATTTTTAGGATACCAATTACAAACGGAAAGCTAAACATGGGGACATGGCAGGTAACCAAAATAATTATGCAATGATTTATTCAAAAAAAATTTCTTAGCCAAGATGAAACTTACGAGGATGGGTTTAACTACTTCAAAGTGCAGGTTGCACTTTATGATAAAATGGTCCTGAATGACCTGCCATTTTTCATCAACAGTTTGAATTTCTATGAACCTATGAATTATTATTCAAACTGAACGATCTATGATAATGCTGAGTTGCTGACGTGTTATGATTGATTATCTTTTGCACTTTCAACTTTTGGGCAGTTAAATCTATAGTTTTAACACGAACAACTTTTCAAAATTTTTGCTTCCGCTAATTTACTGTGTATGCCAAAGATGAGCATAGTTATCTTTGAAATCCTAAGAAACTGGCAGAACGTAATGATTAATGTTTGATATATTGTTGAATTCTTGAATAACAAGTAGGAATTTAAAAACTAAGTTTTAGTTCTTACAACCATTCAAGGTTAAGACTTCTGTCACTAGTTAAATGTAGCCTGACTTCTTACTGCTATATTTCCATTCTACCCTCTCTTCCGTACACACCTTTGATGAAAAGGAGCAAACCCATGAGAACATGGCACACTGCTCGCTGCAACATTATAGTGTGGTGCACATAATTATTTAATAAAAAACTAAATAAAACAGTAGTAAAAATTAAAACAACAAGCTCAGGAGAGAGAAAAAAGACTGAGCAGATAAACTGAGAATATTATCTTTATTATTAGGTTAAACTCAACGAATCTTTCAACTTTTAAAATAAAATGATATCAAATTTGTTTCAACCCCTTTTCTTTCAAGTATTCTGCTTTTAAAAATTTAGATGCTATAATCCAATTATGATTTAGAATTTGACTGTGAAGAGAGAGAGAAGAGATCGAGAAACAGGGGTAGAGAGTAAGAATGAATCTGAAATATTCTGAATCTTATTTCGTTGCCATTCAGATCCGTAGACTAAACTTATTTATGAGCATAAATCTGAATAAATAAATATCTTAATCTTATCCAAGCCCCAATAATACAAATAAATCGTATATGAATCTATTTAAATCATCTAAATCTATCTCAAATCCTAATAACTAACAAATATAACTAAATCTTGTCTAAATTCATTATTTCATAAAAAATTAAGTTGACTAAAGGGCAAGAATTGCCCACATATCACTTATCTTGACCAAATATAATAAAGTTCACTAGCTCCCCGCGAGCCAGGTTGGTAGATTCTATATGTTCACCATCTGCCGTATCTCTTTCATTCTCCCTGAGTATCTTCCACCTGTTACCTTCACACAACCAAACTGTAAGAATCCACAGAAAGTGAAAATAACAGGACTGGTGACATCTGTTTGAGGGATGGGAAAGCCAATACTGCCTTGGAAACCAAACCAGTAGACTTACTGAGGGACAGCATGAAAAGAAAAGGAGAGTGATTGGAGGAAGGGAGAAACAGAGTATTAAGGAAGAGGAAAAGGAGCTGCAAAATTCACCAATGAACTGGAAACCAAATCCGTTGATGAAAAATTGGAATGTTGCATGATGAAAGCGTACTTCATAACATTGTGCATGCAGAACATCCCATGTGCCACTGCCAAGGGCTCTGGCCTATTGATTTTCTGCATCACTACAGCTGTAGCACATGGTGATTGCCACCTTTGTATGCCGCAGTGCTGTGCCATGTGCCAGTGTTTTTCAAACAAGGACAAAACTTGGATGCAATTTTTTTTTTTTGGAACAAAACAAAACTTGGATACAATTTTGATATGAGGTTTTTGTCAAACATTATAATACTGAGTATCTTTTATTGCTTAAAGTCACATGACTTGGTCTTTCAAAAAGCTTGTTCCTCAAGCTGGGGGCCTTTACCTTTTGTCTCTCTCTCTCTCTCTCTCTCTATAGCATGTGTGTGCACCAAGAGAGATAGATAGAGGGAGAGAGATTGAGAATTAGGACTTGATCATATTAATATGCCAGCAATTTATGGTATGTGATGAATTTTGTGGCTTCTATTTAATTTATTTGCTTTGGGGTTAGATGTCATTGAGAAAATTAGTACTCTCTCCGTTCCAAATTATAGCTACAGGGCACTTTTGAAGGAGTTTCTCTATCGTAAAATATAAGACACTTTGAGTAAATTAAGGTTTTATTAAATGCACCAATTTCAATATTACCCTTTTTCTTTCTATAATTAATTTCTGTCCCTTCTTTTTTTAATATATTAAATGATGGATATTTTTGATTATATTTTTGTTTTGGAATGATAAGATTGTTAAGTGTATTTAATAAAGTTTATTGGTATGCGAGATTTTGTCTAAAAATATCTTATAATTTGAAATGGAGGGAGGATGAACTATTTGTTCATCTTTACTTAGATTTCCAAATTGCTTGTAAAATAATGACAAATATTATGTCATTCCATTGAATTTCCTTTTATTACACCTTACATTGTTTATGATATGATGCCTGATAGAGACTTGGCCAATGTTGAGAACCATAATATATTTTACATTTCAAACAACTGTTACTAGATCATCTTGCAGTTTTAACAATGTATTCTTTTTTTATTATCTTAATATAATAATGCTTCTTATTCTTCTATCTTGCTTAAGGGCATATGGCTTTGTGAGCATCGGGATTATCCTACTTCACGCAAAGTTGTCGTCACTCTGAATGGAATATGAGGCTCTGAGATATGTTTTCCTTCACCTGCTGTATCAGTGGCAAGGACAAAACCTGAAGATATATAGCAGATTGTGTGGATTACTTTTACCTTTTATTCTTTTGAACCAAATACTTTTACCCTACTTCGGATACGGCTTGAATTCAGTGATGCCGCATATCAAATTGATCGTGGGAGTACATGTCATGTCAGAGCATTCCGTAAAGGTTTAAACTTGTGATTGGGTATCGAGAGGAATCTCAAATGGTTTTGTTTTTAATATTCCTTTGACTTGTATAAGCAGTAAAAAATCTTGGCAAACATATTGGGGAGGCAATCAGATGAGTTCCCATCCATAAAAACCTGAACCTAAACCTCAGTCCTCGGACCTACATGTAGTTTTTAGCATTTTTAAAACTAAAAATAATTGTAATATTTGTTCTGTCTATGATTTGCTTGCCATGTCAATGCTAGTCAAGATATGCGGAGTCTACTTTCTTCTGGTCACGAGGATCGTCGTAGGCATTCTTCGATGTGAGGATGGCTACTTCTCTTCTAAAATTGCCATGCTTTGTCATGATGTCTTGATCGGGGGAGGGATTTTGTCATGATATTAATCTTTCTGGCAAAATTTTTATACAGACAGCGTGATTAGTTGATAAAATTTGATCCAAGGAATTTGGTTCAATTTAATTGGAATTGGATTTAATTAATTTAATTGGAATACTTGCCAGTACACGGATTAGCAAGGAATTGCTAATTTCATATAATACTTAACAGAATCTACTTTGACAAACTTGGAGCAAATTGCTCATATGGCCAAATTTATACCTTCCGCTTTTGTACAACTCAAGTACACCCGCACAAACATTTTGTACCCAATTTGTCAAGTGTTGGTGTTCTTGCGACTGGGTATTACAAATGAGCATATAAATACAGCATATGGTCAAAACAAAAACTACGTATTCCAATATGGTTTAGGTAAATTCAAACTGCATTCACGCAAAACATGAACTGGACCTGTCAATCGCAACGTCGCTGGATATGAGACTACATTCATTGATCAGCATGTTCTTGACACACCTGACCAGAGCATTAGTTAGATCCAGGTTAGAACAGTCCATCTATTAGAGAACCCCAGAAGAAGAGTTTCATTTACTCTATTTAAAAAAAAGAAAAGAAAAAAAAGAAGCAGCTTTAAATTAATACAGACAACCAAGGATCTGTTTCTTCACTGATTCACTAAACCCTAACCATGCCATATCCCATTCCCCTTTCTTTCTCGTAAGCTTCTGCCCCTTCTGTAGTCAATCTCTGCATCAGAGCAAGACAGCCCCATTTCATGTTTTTTACTGACTCGGGTTGACCCCATTTTAGCGAATACATCCTCCTCCCTCACGGTGGTGTTTCCTGGCGTGCTAGCTCCGGAACAGCTGTTATTGCTACGCCTTTGGGATTTAATATCTGAGACATGCATGAAAGGAATATTTGCTTATTGGGACGTAAAGAAAACGATATGAAGTTGAGGCACGGGAATCCTAGTCCATTACAATCACTCCTGAACAACAATATCCTCCACCTTTTCAGCCATTTCTGATATCTAGTACTTCATAAATAAAATACATACACAAATGATCAACATGCCTTGCATAAATTTAACCCCTTACCAAGTACCACGGCTCATCAAGGGTCCAGTTACTCAAGTGACTATGGTTTTAGATGGAACTAAATGCAAATTAATTTATAAGTGAGTTTCTCTATTGTTTTTTTAAGTAATGAAATAAACAGATCGGGTAAACACAGCATACCTTCAAATTCTTGGTATACTGGCTGCTGATTGTGTCCGTCCATGGCAACATAGCCTGATTCTAATCTGAGACGACTCTGCGAAGCCACTGGTGTCCCCTGAGATTTGAATCCTTTCATCAAGGGAGACTCTGTGCTTTCTTCCATAGTTGACTTCGAAGAGGTGAAGGGAGTCATTGTAAAAGAGTCCTCCATCACATCAGAAATCTCCACGTATTGAGGGGTGGTGATAATTTCATCCGCACTGAAACCAAAGGATGCTCGGTAAGCTTCTATTTCTTCCACGTCTTGCTTTGGACTTCTGGAATGAATATTCTGATGTCCATTTCCACCAGTAGATTGAACATCTGAATCTTTGGAAACACTTAGCCTCCCACCACTATGAGGAAAGGGAGGATTTTGGTCCAAATAAAATTGTGCATAGGTAGCAGGGCAGAAGAAATTTGTATCTTGAGAAGCTGTGACACCATTGGTATCGTGCCCGGACAGCCTTCGAGATCCAGGACTTTGATATATTCCATTTTTGGGAGAAAGTGATGGATCCCACTGTGGAGGGAAATCCCGTTCTGGAAAGGAAGATGATAAACCGTCACCAGAATTCCTTGATTTTGGAGATATAAGGCTACTGGCAGGACTGCCAGGATACAGTGAATATGTAGCTTGAAGATCATTTGTAGTGATGTAATTAGTCTTGTCATTTTTTAGTTCCACCGAAGAAGAAAGAAAATGAGCAAACGGTACATCTGGGGAAGAGGGAGTTGTTAAGTGAGCTAACTCAGGAGGAGGAGTGAGAGGAGCAGTGGATGGTTCAGTAGTGAAGGTTGAAAAGACAGGAGGAGAAACTAATTGGGTTTCATGAGCATATGGTCCAGTGGCAAACATTGTAGATGAAGGACCACCTGGTGAGTTGGCAGATAATGACAAGAAACAGCTAGGTGACTGTGCAGTTGAAGGAAGAGCTGAATGTGTAAAAGATGTAGGTGAAGAAGGTGGAGCGAGAAGAGAAGGAGCTAGTGCTGTGGCTTGATTTGTCAACCTGACTGCTGGAGGCCCGTTTGGCGGGGCAGTTGGCCCATTGCTCTCAGGTATGCGAGATGCAGGTACAATACGCTTCCCTCCTTTCTGCGAACCAAAACAAGAAAATGCACTCCAACATCCTCCCCATCTCTTTCTCTGTCAATACAGGTATTATAGACTTAGTCAAATGCAGGAGACCATTTACAAATAGATACAAGAAGAAACAATAAGTTTGGATTATTTCTTTTGAAGCATTGAGTTGCTTGTCAGAGTTCAACAGCTCAAAGGCATTTTAAGATGAAACGGGGAAAGGAGTACAAACAAAACAAAAATACATTTGGACCAATATATTGATTTCAAAAGATTGAATATCTTTTAATTTTGCAGGTATCAACAATAAATAAGTACTAAAATCAAATGATCCAACAGAAATAACAGCACATATCAACTTTGGCAGAGTTTTGATATGACATAGGACTAAATTGTAGAAAATGCTGCTGTTGATTAAACCAAAGCTGTTCTAATCCCTATATTTGGGATGTTTAAAGTCCCATTTGGATCAACTTCTTTTTTTTTTCCTGGGAAAAAAGCATTCAAACGGGTATTAATACGATTTTCAAAAAATGGACAAGTGTGGAAGTGGTACTATCGATCAAGTCCGACTTAACAAATTAACTTATCCAGAGAAAACAAGAAGAGCAAATGCACCAAAAAGAATCAAAGCAGACCGCTCTTCAACTTAATTTCCAAGGGAAAAAACCTCTAAAAAGCTTCTATTAGAGAATAATAGGAGGAGGCGTTCGAAGCTGGAAATTCAACAGATCCGTCCAAATGTAGTTCGGGCACGAAGAAATGACCCTCGATTGAAGAAAAACAAGCTATAGGGGCTCTTATCGTCAATTACCATCCACAGACTAACAGATTAAAGAGTAACAAGAAGACGAAGCAGGAAAAAAAGCAGCGGTTCTCAGGTGCAAATACAATTACAGTCGCTCAATGTGAGATCTGAGAGAGGCACATGCATCGAAGAGTAAAAACGGGCACAGGCAAACGAAGAACACGAAATCCAATCGGAAACAAACAAAATTGGAGTTAGGTTTTGCACCAAGTACCTCAGATCTAACTCCTACAGTCAATTCCTCACGGATAAAGCAAGCTTGAGTAATTTAGAATCCAACAACGCAAATTTCAAGTTAAAGCAGGATGTGAGAGATTCAGAGCGATACCCTTTCCTGTTGAGGAAATCGATTTTGCTCGGACCCCATCAGTTTTCAGTACCAGTGCTTTTACACTGAGCTGGTAGTGGTTTCCAGTTTCCAATGTCAGGTTTGAGAGGACACTAATGATAAGTTAGGCGAAGAAGATCATTCTCACACTTGCTCATCACAAGAAGCTGACACCACCTGGACTTTTGATGCGAGAAGAAGATTATATGAAGAATATTTATTAATTCATACGTTCATTCAAAGGACAGAGAAAGACAAAAGCGAAAAAGATTGGAGCTTGATGAAGATACAGAAAATAAGAAGTGAGAGAGCGAACCGGGACAGACAAGACAGAGCTGCTTTGCTTTGCTTTTCTTTTCATTTTATTTTTTTCTTTTCCCCTCACAATCACATACTTTAATTCTTTTTCTTTCTTTCTTCAATTTTTTAGTCTACAGGCAAAATATACTTTACTCCAATTTCGTCTTTTGAGAATTGAGATAAACATTTCGTAGTTCAGGCTTTTAAAAATTATTATAGTTTTAGTTTTTAGTTTAGTCCCATCCATTTCAAGCCCCCCGGTCTCGTCCTTATATGCTATTGCTTCATTGTTATTAAATTACTTGTAGAACTTTATTATTTTGATGTTTTATCACATTTTTTAATAATGATGATGATGATGATGATTATTAAGTATTAGTTGTCTAGTATATACTAAACTTATGTGATGGCCACTCATTTTTTTATAAAATTATTAATTGTCCTAATATACGGATAATATTGAAAAATATTTACATTTTAATATCCACATAAAACAAAAGAGATCCTTGATGAAGAAAATAATTGTATTTAAATAAAAATAATTTTTAATTCTTGTACTTTACTTGCATTTTATTTTTAATTTTTATTTTTTTAATGTTTTAGGTCTCTATATTTTTATTTTTATTATTTTTAATCCTCTTATGAGCAAAGTATAGAAACTTTAAAAGAATTCAAAATAATTAAAGGTAAAAATATAGAGACCTAAAATATTAAAAAAAATATAAAGATCAAAATGTAAAACGTAAGTAAAGTATATGGATTAAAAGTTATATTTATTCATTTTATTTTTATACATGTAACAGTGACCTATTAAGACTAAATATATCAAAAGGTTAATTTTTTTTAGAAAATTAATTTAATTTTTAAATATTTTTCAATGAATTCTTAACAAGCGTAAAAAAAATTAAATAATTGTATAAAAAATTGTCGCAATATTTTGGTGCGAGAATGAAAACTAAAATGACATGACATTCAGAAGGCATACATGATCACACCGATATGGACATGCATTCCGATGAAAATGTCTCTGTCCTTTTCTTTTGCCATTGATAAAAATGTCATTCAAGATTGTGATGCATAACTTGTTGAAGTCGCTCGA